TTCTACCTGTATATTTCTTGGTATGTGAAATAATACTCTTCTTTATGTTTAAGTCAATATGAACCTCCTAATATAAAGGCCAAGAGAGAACAGTAACAATGAACTCACAAAGAAGGAATTGGAATAAAAGTGTCTATGAAAAGGTATTATGTCAGTCTTAAAGTTGAGCCATAGGATACAGGACCGAGTTCAGGATGGAATTCCTGTGCACTGATGCTGGGAATGTAAAATTGGTGCATTTTCTAGCAGTTACACACCATGTCCCCCAAATTCCACTCCTAGGAATATATTAATGATTCAGTAATTGTACTACCACATATATATTGACTAGAAATGAACTCAAAGATTTATCAAAGACATCTATTAGAATATCAATAGCAGCAATAATCAGTTTTTGTCCATTTCCTCTAAAAAAAAAATAAAAAATACATGGGCAAACAAACAGACTGCTTCCAGAAATGTCCAATCCAGGCAATTATCAACATACCATACTGCTCCAATGGTATATACTTTGAAACTTCTTAATTAATATGGTTCAATCACTTATTCAGGTGAAGTAGAGTTTAAGAATATATACTGATGGAATTGCCGGATCATATTTAGCAGGTTGAAGAATCTCCACACAGCTTTCCATAGTGTTGGGACCAGTTTGCTCTCCCACCAGCAATGCAGGAGGGTTCCTTTTTCACCACATCCTCTCCAACATGTGTTTCTTGTTTTTTTGATATGTGCCATTCTTACTGGGGTAAGGTGGTATCTCAGTGTGGTTTTAATTTGCATTTCCCTGATTATAAGGGATGTTGAACATTTTTTCACATGCCTGATGGCAACTTGCATTTCCTCTTTGGAGAAATGTCTTTTAAGTTCTTCTGCCCATTTCTTTCTCTTTTTTTAATATTTTATTTTTTATAATTCTTAAATCATTTTTCATTTTTGCACAATGTATGCATTTTCATTTTGGTTATATTCCCCATACAATCGCACCCCCCTTATTTTGACCCTAATCCTTCCTCTCCCCACTCCTTCCACCCCCACCCCATAGTGTGTTTTTGGTTTATAGTTGCTTATTGTACAACTATGTTTATGGCAGCACTATTTACAATAGGTAAAACCTGGAAACAACCCAAATGCCCAAAAATAGATGACTGGATCAAGAAGATGTGGGATATATATACAATGGAATATTATTCAGCAATCAAAAAAAGATAAACTCATGCCATTTGCAGCAACATGGATGGAACTAGAAGCGGTTATGCTCACTGAAATAAGCCAAAAGGAAAAAGAAAAATATCGGATAGCTTTACTTACAGCAGGAATATAGGGGAACCAAATCAGGCATCAGTGAAAAAAAATTACTAACAGTACAAAACACAACAAAGCAAAAACGGACAATTATAAATCAGAGACATCCTGCAGGGAGGAGGAGGGAGAGGGATCAGAGGGAGGGAGGGAGGAGCACGGGGGACTGAGGTGATGGTGCACGGGTGCATTGGTGAAGGAAACTCTATGGGGACTACAACTGAGGGGGTGTGGGAAAGCAAATAATGTTTAAAAATGAACAATGATGTAAAAATTTTTAAAAATTCATATAAAAAATACAATAAAATTAGACAAAAACCAAAACAATAATTAAAAAAGAATATACACTGATGGTATCACTTATATGTGTAATAGAGAAAAAAACAAAACAAAGCATCAGATAATGCCAAACTGAAAAAGTAACCCTTGAATGGGCAACCATTGGGGGAGTAGGAGGGAGGAAGGAAAGGGTGAGAACAAAGAAGGGAGTACAAAAAGGGTCAATGGTAGTGGACTATGGGTCCTTTGGTGGTGAGGGTACTATGGCAACAATGTCTATTATGGAAATAATATAAACAAATATTAACTCAATAAAAGAATATTAAAATAAAAAGAATATGGACCCTGAATTCAAACTATGTTTGAACCCTGGGGCCATAACTTACTAGCCACATGCTTTTGGCCAAGTTTCCTTAATTTTGTTCTTCCATTTCTTTATCTGCTGAGAGATGATTAAAAAAATATTTTCCTTAAAGGTTTTTTTTTTTAAATTTTTAAAAAAAGATTTATTTATTTATTTATACAAGCACTGGGTACAGTCATAAGTGCGGGAGGGTGAGAGAATTCACCAGAGCCAGAGCAGGGAGCAGAACAGGCAGACTGACGAAGTACACTGCTGAGAGGAGCAGTAGGCACGGCAGGAGAGGTCTGCGAGCCATGTGGGACCCTCGCCAGCGGCCAGGGATCCAACCGGCACGCTACAGAGGCTGTGGGCAGCTTCGCAGCCCAGTGCTCAACTGCTGTGCCACCAGAGGAGGCCTCTTATAGGGTTTTTAGAAAGAGTAAATTAATATAAGTAAAGGACTCAGAACATTGCTTAGCATATAGTGAATACTCAAAAAATTAATGCTATTTATTAAATATTTTCCGTCTAGTAAAATTTTCCAACTATGAACCCAATATGCTATCCCAAGGGCAACCAATTTCAACAGTTTATTATGCATCCTTTCAGACATATATATTTTTTGCATATATAAGCAAATTGTGCCAATAAATCTTTTTCCTTTCAAAAATGTAAAATTTATATATGGAAAGATACATAGTGTGCATAATATACAAAGTAAGGGTACATGATATACATATTAGTGTGCAAAGTGTTCCTAGCATATATGTTGTGTATCTAATTAATATAATGTACAGTATAGCACTGTACAGTGCTCTCATATGTCTTCCTTTTTTATTTACAATGAATAAATCTTGGAGATGTTTCATTATCAGAAAGAACTTCCTTATTTATGTGGCTGTCTAATATAGTATTCTATTGTTTGGTGTTCTATCACATTTATTTAACCAATTCCCTGTTGATAAACATTTGGGTTGTTTCCAGTGTTTCACTATCACAAGTGTTAATACTGCAATGAATATGCTTACACATAAGTCACTTTACATAAGAATATAATTGAAGGGTAGATTTCTGTAAGTGCAATTCCTGGGTTATTTAAAATTTTGATAGATACTGCCAAGTTATCCTTTTCAGAGGTTGTACCAGGAAAAGATGGTGCCCTATTTCAGTGCACCTCCTCACCATCCTGTGATAGCAAATGAGATATTCTGTGTAAATCCCAGTGTCTGCTATAGAAAACATGCTCAGTAAATGGTGATTATCATGATTAATAATATAGATAAACCTCACCACTAACAATTGTCTCAGTTTGGTCAAATTTTAAGTTCTTTTAAAATACAATTAATTCTGAAAATACTTTAATTATAATAACGGTAGGTTAATTTATTGTATTAGTTTTCTTGAGTCTTGGGGGCCAGAGGTAGAGAAAAATTATAAAAAAAGACTGTATTTTGTCTTCACAAATTCAGCCAGAGATATCATTAATGCAAAATTCATTTTTAATTCTAAGTTTTAAAATAATAATGTTTCCTAAAATATTTAGATAAAATATATTTGGTTCAGGTAGCCATGCTTGTAAAAGGGCCTAAAGTAAAGTTTAAGAAAACTTAAGGATCATCTTCAGGCTAACTTTGCTATATCATGGATCCCTTCAATGCTACAAAATTCCAACCAGAACCATGACCGCGAAAGCCAGCCAGGAAGACTATTCAGAAGGTGGGATGCCCTGATTCCCAAAACCCACTTTTATTGCTTTGAGTGCCCAACAGCTGGCATAAATATTATACCATCACCATTTTTACAAAGATATTTTAAAACATCTAGAATCTAACATACAGTCTTTACAGTTATCATATTTTGAGAATGTCTCATTTTGAGAAATGATTAAAAAGATGATATCATGATGATAAGTAATAAAGCTAGGTGACCCATTTAAAGTTCTATATATCTTTGAATGATGTGTTAACATGTTTGTTTTAAAAATCACAAATATTCTTATGATCCACCATCTACAAGGCCTTATTCCTCAACTTGACTTCCTTCTAGGTTTCTCACTTCCTTTTCAGAATCTGAAGATTGAAAAACATCCAGCTTCAGCTGCGGTGACTTGCACATCCATGTTTACTGATGTGAGAAGAGTATTCTTGTAAAGGAAAGTCCCTTTCAGTTTTCTTGAGGACCATTCTTCCTCTCCTACCTTCTCTTCCTAAGGTCTTTAAATTGGATGATACAATTTTGACTCTTCTTGGTATTGTCCTAAAAGAAACTATCAAGTGAGTGAAAATGCAAATGGTAAATACATTCTTTAAAAAAAATTTTTCTTCTTTGGGCTACTCTGGTGGTGCAAGGGTTAAAGACACAGCTATCACCAGCCACTGCAGCATGATAGATCCCCAGCTGGCCAGGGAGGTGACCCACATGGTGCAGCAGACTCCTGTCTCACTCGCTGCTCCACTCAGCAGTGTATATCAGTGGATCTGCCTGATCTGCTCCCCTCTCTTTCTGGTGAATCCTTTCACCATCCGCCCCACCACCACCCCCGCACCTCCGGTCTGCCCCCTGTTCTTGTATGCGTAAATAAATAAATCTTTTTTTTTTAAGATTTATTTATTCATGCATAGAAGAACTGGGGTACAGGCCAGATGTGCAAGAGGGTGAGAGGATTCACCAGAGACAGAGCGGGGAACAGAACAGGCAGACTGACTGAAATACACTGCTGAGGGGAGCAGTGGGTGAGACAGGAGAGGTCTGCTGCGCCATGTGGGTATCTCCATGGCCAGCTGGGATCAAACCCACACTGCAGAGGCTGTGGACAGCTTCACAGCGCTGTGCTCAACAGCCTCTGCCACCAGGGAGGCCCAATAAATAAATCTTTAAAAAAATTCTTTCAATATTTTTCATTATGCAGGATTCCAAAGCATGCTGTATAAATACAGAAGTTATAAACAAAAGAAATAGGAAGGTAGTTTTAGATTTTCCAAGTAAATATCCCCACTGACATGTTAAAATGGGAGAGGTTCTATAAAACATGCAGGAAAAAAAAAAAAATGGACATGCTGCTACACTGAGGAAAAAAATAAATATGGATATTTTATTAAATTAATGCAGGGGTAAACAGTGATAATCAAATGTACTCTTAGATACCAACTCTGTCTATGTCATTTACAATGAAACACAAGATGAAGAGATAAAGTGCTTTATAAATCATTAAGATTTAGGTTTGAATATATAGGCTGTTTATCTTGCTCAGCCAGAATCTTCCCTGTATACTCACTTCACTTCCCTCACATTAACAAGGAATACTGTCATACAAACAAGGACATTGTACAAATGAAAACATACAAAAACATAATAGAGGACTTCTGCAGGAGATTCTGTTCTTCAGCCTTACATGTGGCAAAGCAAAGGCTTTCCTTGTCTTCAATCCAGGTAAATGATTAAGAGGGAAGAATGAATAACTCTGGAACTTCCTAAGACGGCCTCTGAATCTCAAAGTCTTTGGAAAGCAACATCTTAGGAGACTTATGTAGTGATGAGAGCTGGTGAGACACAAGGGTTCAGGCACAGAGAGCATGGGCCTTTTCTGGCACAGATGAAAGTATAGGATCAAGACACTCTAATGGGATTTCCAAAAATAACATGTAATTCTGCAAGTGCAACATCAAAGTCAAGTTTATACTTAACAGAAAATAGAACAAAAACAAGTTTTAGGCATGATTCTGTCATACAAAGTTAATAATAAGATCACTCTTTAGGACCAGGCTGACCTATTATACCCTGAAGAGCCCCTGGGTCTCTTTTTGAGAAACACAAAATGAACCAAATCTAAATACAGTCAGAGAGCAAGAACTTAACAAATCCTGATCATCTAAATGTAAATATAGTAGATATATAGCGGGTACTAAGTCTTATGAAAGATCCTAAAATGTTATGGGAAAGATGATCCAGAAATAAAATAAAACATAATGCCTGACTTCTGGGAACTTGTTTGTCTTCACCATTACATAAGAATAATATAGTAAATAAAAATGGAAAAGTGCATAGTAGGCACATAATATGTTAACATTTACATGAAATAGAGGAAGAAATTTCTAAATGTACACATATATTCAAAGAATACCTTCAGAAGAATACATAAACAACAACAACAACAAAAAGTTGCATCTGAAAAAGGAAAATGGATGGCCAGGAGAATGGAATGGTGACTTTTGAAAGTTTCTTCTTGAACCTTTTGATTTCGAATCATGGAAAGATATGAATTCAAAATTAATAGCATTTAAATAACAAAGAAAGAAGTGTTACACATGCCAAAGACTTCATAAATAAACAACATATCACATGCAAAGGCAAATAAATCTGGGATAAAAACACTGGAAAAAGAATTGAGTCATTTTCCATAGTTTTATAATTACTGACTTTTACTCAGAAGGTGAAATTGTTTAGATTAGTAGTATGTTTAAGTATTTCTGACTGTCCAGAAACACACTGACTGGCCACCCAGAATGTCCTCTCCTTTTGGCAGCATCTCTAGACTTTCCTCCTTACAACATCATTCTCCTCCAATGCCTCATGCTGTGACATTGCACAAAACTGTAATAATAAAATTTCTTATTGATCTTTCCATTATACCACAAACTTCTTAAGGGGAAGTATTTTGTCTTGCTCACATCTATGGACTCACTGCCTGGCACAGTGATTAACATGCAAAAATACTTCCTAAATGTTTGCTGAATTAATGAATTTCTTAAAGTAAAACATATTCGTTAACTGTATTCTAAAAGGAGGGTGGGAGACATTCATGAAAATCTGAGGTCTGCTATTTACTGACTTGGACAAGTTACTTTATCTATCTGTTCCCTCAGCTGCAAAAGGGGTATAAAAATAGTGCTTACCACAACACAGTTGTTACAGGCGTTAAATAGTCTTAAAGTTGATATTTAAAGTTAATACTTAAGTTGATATTTGTTTTACTTCAAAACAAAAGAAAGCATTCATAACCACCCACTCACATGGTAAGACTCCCCACACTCAAAATAAATAGAAAGAGCTCACACTACTCACACTTAAATACTGTTGTAACACTGAGAACTCTCAATCACACAGAATACAAACCAAGACAGTGAGTGAAGGCAAAGGGCACTTCTGCAGGAATTGACCATTTTTTAAACCAGGGAATCTCAACCTGTTTGAGATGAGTGGTGGATGTGCATGAGCAGTGGAGGCTCATTAGTCAGAAATGTCCTTTCTCCTTTTCATATGCTCTGAGGAATCTCCCAACCATTTTGAAGTCCCAAGGTTTCCTTTAGGCAACCTCTTCTGCTCCTTTTTCCCTGGTCACTTCTTTCCCAGGTTCCATTTTCAGAATTTGGGCCTTTTGGAAGTCCTACAACATCTGCAGTTTGCTGGCCCACCATATTGCTCTGGTCACGCTTAGCCCTGATAAACTGAAACCACAGGCTGAGAATCCCCACTTTAATATCGAAAGTGTCAATGCTGGATTACGTCTTCTCAATTTGTGTATCTGTAAAGTGATAAAAGTGTATTAATTTCATGAAGGAGGAGATCTGGGAGAAAAGAAACAAAGACTGATGAAAAATATAACATTTACTCGATGATACAATAAATTTTCAGTAAGAGAAAGGCTAGAGAAACTTATGCACAATTACCTTTATATGATAAAGAGTGACAAATAATGCCCAGGACTGTCCTTGTTTAAAGACAGTTTCTCATGTCTTGAGAAACTCCTTAGTTCTGGGAAAATCAGGATGGTTGGTCACCCTAGGATGTCTATGTCAGGCTAATATGCTCTCAAACCTGCTTTTTTGTCATATGTTCTGGGACAACTTACATTATCTCTGTTTTTCCATACTATAACTTTGTGATAATCCTAGTATTTATCTCTTTTACTTTGGGGGAGGGAGCAAGAATGAAATGATGTACTGTATATAGTGCAGTTAACGCAGTGCTTTATGCACACGTTTATCTATCCATCCATCCATCCACGCATCCATCCACCCATCTACCCATATATCATCTTATTATCCATCCACATGAGTTAACTTGATACCCCATGGCTGGGGAATGTTAGGATGCAGAGCAATAGAACTAGCAGAGAAGCTGCTTCCTCCCCAAGCTGCTCACTCTCTACTCTCCAGTCATATGAGGCCTCCTCAGATTACTGAAAGAATTATTAAAGTAGAGTTTTAAGGCAAAGAGAAGCCAGCAGTTCCAATAGCCAACATTCTTCATTATTTTAACATTTTTGTTTCCTTTTTCCTTCAATTTCCCACCCCCTGCTAATATTTATAGCATTTTGTCTGAGTGTATATCTTGGCTGTTATTTTCCACATCCATCATTATTTTCACATAATATAACTCTTTAATTCTAGGTTAATTCCAGGTTCCTCTGAAGTATTTTTAATCCCCTAGGAAGCCTGGTAGATGTCTTTATTCCACAGTTTATTCTAACAGATCTGTTCCAGTAATTGAGAGCACATGACTTTTCTCCTAGATTTTCTTTAGGAATACACAATTTTATTCTCCGTCTTTTCTTCAGAGATGGACTATACTCATATTTTGCAGGGCTTTATTATAAATTGTTTTCCAGTGATTCCTAATACCAATGAATTATTTTTCACAGAGAAATACCTAAAATGGAAGTTGGCAACAGTCACTTCCTTGGACAAATCAACTCTATCTTCAGGTCTTACTGAACCTTGATCATTATGGTCTGGTTAACTGCCTCACTTGTGTTAAATACTTACTCTTCAGAAACAGCTAACCTCTACTCCCTCAATCATACTGCTTTCCCAGACCCACCCACCCTCTTGAGGGGTTATAGGGAATTTCTCAACTATTGAAATTCCCTTCCATTTTCTACTTCCCTATTTGACAGCAACTAATATTATACACAGATCATCATTACATCCCTTGATATACTTCTCAAAGTACTGGGGATATGCTTACTCTGAATCATCTTAAAATGGGATGAAATTATTTGTATAGATTTGTTTCCTGGATTTTAATTGTTCCCATGAGTAAACAGATAGATAAAAACATGCAAATCACTTCAAAAACTGTATTACACCCTCAGTCAGAAATTGTACAAAATCCTGTATGGTAAAAGTATCACATCTCTCTAGAAGGAGTATTTTTATTACATAGAATGCCCCCAAACCAGCTCAATATGACAGTGCAAAAAATGTAAGACTCAAATTCAACTGAAACCGACAGGCATTTTAGCCTTTTCTCTCCTCTAAGTCTGTGTTTTTTACATAATGGAAAGAAATTGTGTGACTATGGGTCTTCTTTAACCTCCATATACACCCATTCTCCCACCCCTCATTCCTGTAGTAATGATCTTTACCCAGCAATCTTGCTCAGTTTCACTACAATCACTATTGAACTATGGAACTTTTGTGTCACCTTGCAAAGGCAAGCCAGTTTCTCTCCAGTCATGACCCAACTCTCACACTCTAGGAAATGTTACAAAGGTTAGCTCCCACAATCCAACGATCAGCAGGACTGGAGGAAGAGGTGCTACACAGGTTCACTTAAAACCTACTTTGCATGAAAGTTGGCCCTGCAAGAGAAGACTAGTAGAAAGGCTGCATTTTTTAAGTTAATATTTCCTACTAGGGGCACGACTAGCACTTGGGATAGGACAATCTCTTGTAACATGGGACTTGCACATTACAGGAAATTTAGCATCTCTGGCTCTGCCCAGTGCCACTGTGACACCAGTAGCACACCCATACATTTCCCTACATCCCCAGTGGATATCATCACATTAAAGCAAATACCGTTTTTTTTAAGACAGATGATGAGATTAATGGCTACAAGGAACAAAAACATGGGTCCCAAAATTGTCAATCGAGTTCTCTCATTTTTCAAAGTCTTAGGGGATTCTGAAAAACAAAAGAAAACAAAAAGAAACCGACTAAAGAGGCAAGAAAATCATTCTTAAAATTAAATTTAGGTTAACATTAAGTTGATTTTCTTAAATACGAAAAGTTTCTAGGCAGTGAGTGGCTGGAATGGTGAGATATCTCTAATATGAAAATGGGAGCAGTATAGAAAAGCAGAAGAAACTTGGTCTTTGAACAGATGGACCCAGGATTAAATTTTGCTGCTAAAAAAATTTTGCTGCTATTCCCTAGCTTTGAGGTCTCTGGCAAGTCCTTTAACTAGCCTACAAAACAGAAATGATGATAAATGTATTGTGAAACTAATATTATAATGTACTTAGCCTAACATCACAACACTAAATGGCAGACTTGATTCTTCCTCCTCCTCTTCTTATTTCTTTAATATAAAAGCTAGCCGCCTATTGTACAAGGCAGAGATGGAATGGTCAACTGTATTGACAATGAGTTCTTACCTCCCAGTATCTGCAGTCATGACTGGAAACCAGTGTTTGCTGTCTTTCCTTTCTTCACAGTTTGAACATCTTGGGGCATCTAATCATTAGTACCTCTAGTAAGTATCTCTGCAATCCCACACAAGAAAAGGGGTCTCATGCTCTGAGACAGCTAAATCCAACCTCCTGTTATTCGTCAAGATCCCTAACTACTTAGCTCAAGCTTTAAAGCCACAACAGTAGTCAGCCTTTGTCTAGTACCTTACAAAGCCTACTCATATATTTTTTATTTGCATCTCAAAATAACTTTATGAGTTAGGCATACCAAGTATTTAAAGAAAAATCTTCAAGTTATAGATGTGGAAACTGACTTCAAGCAGGTGAATAATCCTAGGTGAGTAATCCCAGGTATTAGAAATAAGTTGACATAAAACAGCTTTTAATCAACAGGAATCCACTAATGCTGCTCTTACCAAAGTAACTCATATTTCAGTAAGAGCATTTTCATATAAAATTTAAACAGCTCTTTAAATTTTCTAAGCTTTTTTTTTAATTTAAAAAAATTTAAACTGAACTGAGGTATAGGCCAGAAATTTAAACTGAATTGGGGTACAGGCCAGACATGTGGGGGATGAGAGGATTCACCAGAGACAGAGTGGGGAGCAGAACAGGAAGATTTACTGAAATACATTGCTAAGTACCTTATTCTTCTACGAACTCCACTGCCTGGCATGTAGGGCATATTAAATATTTGCTGAATGTCTATTAAATAGCAATGTGACTTAAATGAATGGGGGTGAGGAAGTAGAGTGCATTTTGTAAAAAATAGTGTTATGCATTCATTTATTTAAAAAATAATGAATGCTGGGCCTCCCCGGTGGCGCAGCGGTTGAGCACTGGGTTGCGAAGCTGCCCGCAGCCTCCGTGGCGCCGGCTCGATCCCCGGCTGCTCCCCGGCCACTGGAGGAGGGTCCCACATGGCGCGCAGACCTCTCCTGCCGCCCGCTGCTCCCCTCAGCAGTGTGCTTCGGTCCCTCTGCCTGCTCTGCTCCCTGCTCTGGCTCTGGTGAATTCTCTCACCCTCCCGCGCTTCTGACTGTACCCAGTGCTTGTATAAACAAAACAAACAAACAAATAAATAAATAAATAAAGCATGCCTCTATAAAAAAAAAAAAAAATAATGAATGCTGACAATGAACAGGCATTGTGCTGGGTACCAGGAGATGGCAGTAGGCACAATTTAACTGAGACATTCATAATATTACCTGGGATGACCAGCTCAGCTGTACTGTTTTCTTCCTGGCCTGTTCTTTGAAAGGTGCAGTAGAAAATCTCATTAGCTGTTGTGTTAACTCTCAAAATGCTGGTCACGTTGAGAAGTTTCTCCTCTCTCTTAGAATTGGTGATGACAGTTTTGCCACTTAGAACTTGGTGGTCACTGTTTGTCCAGATGACTTCAACCTCAGGATAGCCCTCAGCTTGGCACGTTAGTTCGTGTTCAGAGGTGACTGGGTCCACAGAAATTCTTTGGTTGATTTTGCGATATGGAGCTAAGTCATGAGCAAAAAGAAGTAAGGGCTTTTACTTAGCACAGAATGAGACACGTGGCTTGGTGTATATATCAAAAAGAGTACCAATCCACTCTGTTTCTCAGAGAAATAAGCTTACTGTTCAGATAGATGTCTGAGCAGTTAGGAACCTCTACAAATTCTCTCTCAGTTTTTCTGTTCATATTGGACCAAGTTTGGGTCCAAAGGATAATGATGTTGCTATAAAGATCATACTGCTATTTTTATTACACTTAACATACATGTATAGATTAATTGAAATAGAATTGTCATCTTAAACCAGTAGTCTTTCTATCCAAATAGAGAATATGTCTGTCCATTTACTCAAGTCTTCATATATTTCTCGGTAAAGTTTTACTTAGGGTCAACTCACTTGCTCCTAGATATATTCTTTTTGTTGTTGTAAAGTGGTCTTCATAAACATTAACTCCAGCTGATCAGTTCCCAAACACTTTATTTAAAAACAGACAAAAATCTGATCTAGATGTACAATTTACTTTTTTCCTTTAGGTCAATGATCAAAAATTAGGTATGAAAATAGTGTGATATCATTGTAAAAATGGATACGTGTTCCTGGATTTAAAGTTTAAACACATTTTTTTCCTTTTACAGTATTTGTAGATTTACAGAAAAGATGAGAAAACAGCACAGAGCTTCAACATAGCTGTCATCCAGTTTTCCCTATTGTTACCGTCTTATCTTACCATGGTACCTTAGTCATAACTAAGGAACCAAGATTAGTACATTCCTTTTAACTAAACTTCACTTCTGTTCCGTTGCACTAGTTTTATCCTAGTGTCCTTTTTCTGTTCCAGGATCTCATCACATTATACCACATTATGAAGCTTATTTTAAAAAACTTTTAAAATGCCAGCTACTTTTTTTTTTTTAAAGATTTATTTATGCACACAAGAACTGGGGTATAGGCCAGAGGTGTGGGAAGTGAGAGGATCCACCAGAGACAGAGCAGGGAAAAGAAGAGGCAGATCTATTGAAATACACTGTTGAGGGGAGCAGCAGGTGAATCAGGAGAGGTCTGCTCCACTATGTGGGTTGCTCCCTGGCCAGCCGGGAATCGAACTCGAGCTGCAAAGGCTGCGGACAGCTGCATAGTGCTGCACTCAACCCTCTGCATCACCGGGGAGGCCCAATGCCAACTATTTTAATAAATCAGCTAAATAATAATTATACTCAAGGGTAAAATTTTGCTTAAATTTAAATCATTGGTTTGTCACCTTTTTAGGATTAAAATACCCAGTGCACCAATTATTATAGTACTGACATGATATTCTGTTGGCATAATTTTTATTTTACTCCTAGTACTTTAGTGAAACCACTAGAGGTACATCTGGAATCTAATTCTTCATTCCTTTACAAAAGACATAACAATGGCTTTGTGATAGGACTTAATTCAGAGACAATACAGAACTGGGATCAAGCCAAACTGATATAATAATGGTTTATTGTTTTTGTGCTCTTAAATAGATGAAACCACCATTGGATACGATGAAAATTAACATAATTACAATTTTAAAACACAAATAATTGTTCTCACGAGTACTTAAATTCTGTCTCATTTCTGTTATGTTTAAGGATCTTTTTAAAAAAGAATCCACTAAATGCTCATGGCCAACAGGTATATGAAATAATGTTCACCATCATTTATAATCGGGGAAATGCAAGTTAAAACCACAATGAGTTACCACCTTATGCCAGTGAGAATGGCACACATTAGAAAAACAGGCAACAGGGGCCTCCCTGGTGGTGCAAGGGGTTAAGACGCAACCTATGAAGCTATCCGCAGCACTGCAGCATGAGTTCAATTCCCAGCCAGGGAGCTATCCACACGGCGCAGCAGACTGTCTCGCCCGCTGCTCCTCTCAGCAGTGTATTTCGGTCAATCCGCCTGTTCTGTCTCTGGTGAATCTTCTCACCCCCACCCCGACACCTCTGGCCTGTACCCCAGTTCTTATATGCATAAATAAATAAATCTTTAAAAAAAGAAAAAAGAAAAAAAAAACAGGCAACAACAAATATTGTTGGGGATGTGAAGAAAAATGAACTCTCCTACACTGCTGGTAGAAATGCAAACTAGTCCAACCACTTTGGAAAGCTGTGTAGAGGTTCCTCAAACTACTAAAAATGGAGCTACCATAAGACCCAGCAATTCCACTCCAAGGAATTTACCCAAAGGACACAAAAACGTTAATTAAAAAAGATACCTGCACCCCATGTTTATTGCAGCACTATTTATAATAGGTAAGATATGGAAACAACCCAAATGCCCAAAAATAGATGACTGGATCAAGAAGTTGTGGTTTATATATACAATGAAATGCTATTCAGCAATCAAAAAGATAAACTCATTTGCAGCAACATGGATGGAGCTAGAATGTTCAGTGAAATAAGCCAGAAGGAAAAATAAAAATATTGGATAGATTCACTTATAGGAAGAATATAGGGGAACCAAATAAAGGACCAGGAAAAAAATAACAACAATAATAATAAAAACCAACCAAACTAGCAGGCAACCATAAATCAGAGATATTCTGTGAGGGAGGGTGAGGAAAGGTATCAAAACAGGGGAGAGAAGAGCACAAGGAACCATGGTGATGGTTCACAGGTAAATTGGTGGCGGGAATTTTATGGGGAATACACAATGATGTAAAAAATACAAACAAAAAATTAATTAATAATAAAAATTAAAAATAAATAAAAAATAAAAAACAATCACTGTTTTTTTTTTTCCCCCTAGAAGAACTGCAGTGCAGGCTGGAGGTGTGGGGCAGGGGTTATGGGGATCATGAGAGGATTCACTAGAGACAGAATGGGAAACAGAACAGGTGGATTTACTGAAATACAGTGCTAAGGGGAGCAGCTGGGTGGATAGGGGAGGTCTGCTAGATAGGTAGGTCAGCATCCTGGCCAGGGATTTTAACTCAGGCCATTGTGGTGCCAGCACTAAGATTTAACCCCTAGGCCACCAAGGAGGCCCAGAATCCACTATTATATGCATGAAACAATATTACCATAACAGGTTATTTCACATAGCATATAGCTGGATTTCTAGGCAACTAAAATATTTAAGCCTAAAATCAGTTAATAGCATAGTACTAAGAATAAATTATGTTTATTTTACTCTTCTATTATCATTTTATTGGAATAAAAATAAGAGAACGTTGTTTCTTACCTACTCAAATCAATGTGGTGTACCTCCAATAAATGGGCCCAATAAATCACTTGTACTCATTTAACTCATTGATTAAATATCTACTACATCAGTCTCTAAAGTGGTTCGCATACATTGGAAAATATCAGAACTTCCATTTATATGTATTTTTATCATAACAATTAGATATAATTTAAGTTTATTCAGCTTCACTGATTGACACTGAGCTTCATTTTGAATGCCACAAGAGGGTCTTGTAGGAAGAGGGGAGTTTCAAAGGTTGCTCAACAACTCACTTTAGATTTAAAGAGTTTCAGATTATCATATTTAATTTTAACTAAACTAAGCTTCTCACAAAAAGAACAATTAATTAAAAAAATTCCCACAAAGAAACTGAGGATTAAAGATACAATGCAAGCCACACACCACACCAAGACACACAAACCAAAGGAAATGGCAGGAGTGATACTTTTCAACACTTTATGAGTTAAAAACTCATAAAGAGGGCCTCCCTGGTGGCGCAAGGGGTTAAGCACATCACTATGAAGCAATCTGCAGCCTCTGCGGCACTAGTTCAATCCAGGCCAGCCAGGGAGCAATCCACATGGCACAGCAGACCTCTCTTGACTCTCCCACTGCTCCCCTCAGCAGTGTATTTCAGTACATCTGTTGTTCTGTTCCTGACTCTGTCTCTGGTGAATCCTCTCACCCCCCGGCACCTCTGGCCTGTACCCCAGTTCTTGTATGCATAAATAAATAAATCTTTAAAAAAAACTCATAAAGAAATAAGTACACAATTGGACATGACATGATGTTGGTTAAAAACCTCATATCAAGACTATTAACCTTTGGTAATGATTTTAATGGATTTACTCTTTAATTATGCTCTGAAATATTAACTAACAATAGTAACACATCCTAATTAATAAGACTTTGCATTTCATTTAAAAATTTCTATTTTGTACACTCATAGAATGGATGATTTATTATGCTTTCAAAATTATGAATATCTTATGATACAATCTATATACGAGCACCAGTATATTCTTTTTTTTTTTTTTTTTTGGCATGTTTATTTATTTATTTGTTTGTTTGTTTGTTTTGTTTATACATGCACTGGGTACAGTCAGAAGCGCGGGAGGGTGAGAGAATTAACCAGAGCCAGAGCATGGAGCAGAGCAGGCAGAAGGACCGAAGTACACTGCTGAGGGGAGCAGCGGGCGGCAGGAGAGGTCTGCGCGCCATGTGGGACCCTCCTCCGGAGGCCGGGGAGCAGCCGGGGATCGAACCGGCGCCGAGCGCCGCAGCGGTCGCCGGCAGCCTCGCAACCCAGCGCTCAACCGCTGCGCCACCGGGGAGGCCCACCAGTATATTCTTTATAGCTACTCACATCTACATATGAACATGAATATTAGTTTAACTTGCTTTACTGATGGAATGGGTAATCAAAACTCTTCAGACCCCTGTTTTTCTGTATCTAGTGCACCAAGCTAATGCTGGTCAATCAAGACCAAGAGAAACTGACTGTTCTGAAGTCAATATATAACTCAATACAAACTCCAGAGGTATAAGTAAAGTCAATAAAACATGCATGTTAACATCACAGATTTCAGAGCCAGATTGCATGAGTTTAGAACCTGGCTTCACCATTTAATACATAAGTGAATTTAGAGAAATTACTTAATTTCTTTGGACCTTAGTTTCCCCATCCATCAAACTACATATCATTGAATCTAAGATCCCATCTATTAAAAAACACATTGTAATTTCAGTGATAGTAAATATTAAAAAATGCACTTTAGACATGATGGAGCCCCTACTCCATAAAGTCATTTGAGGATTAAATGAGTAAACATAGGCAAAGTGCTTAGTGAGTTGTAACACTACATAAGTGTCTCATTCTCTTCCTGTTACTACTACTGCTTAAGTGTACTCCTGTGGTAGTCTTTAGATACTAATGACAGTTCCTAATGAATGTTCTTGGAGATAAATTTTCATATATCCTGTTCATATTTCAAAAATTTAGGCTTATCTTATTTAAGGAAACATTTCATTCATTCATTCCACAAATATCTTTTGTGTGCTCTTGTCATACCACCACTCTACTATATGCCAAGCCCTTCAGCAGTGAATAAAACAGAGCAAATTCCTGTCCTTATAGACTATATATTCTAGGAGGAGGAGAAAGACAATAAATAAAATTGGCATACTTATATTTGAAATGATATATTAGATAGGGATGTTATAAAGAAAACAAATAGTACTACTTGGTGAATTTGGGGAAAAGACAGGGTTGGTGTGAAATGAGGGCAGTTAATCCTTTGTACATATGAACAGATTAGCTTTCTCAGGATAATGAAGCAAGATTTTATTGTTTCAGTTGTTTAATCCCATCCCATTTAAGGTCTTGAAGGTATATATGGGCATTTTATTTTTCCTGCTACTAGGTTCAATGCTTAAGGAAAAATAGCATTTTCTATTGAAATTTAGATCTCTTAAATTCTGATATTTAATTAAAAAATAAGAAGGTGCAATTAACACCCAAAATGATAATATTGAGTTAATTCAAAACTAAACTTAATTTTCAGTTTTGAAAATACTTCACTTTTAAAATCACATGGTGAGTAAACTCCCTTGGGGAAGCTATGTTACCATATGTTTGCAGTGATGGGAAGAGGAGCCTAACAGTGAAATTATTTGCATAGTGTGGTGATTTGGAATTCTACTTCTTTGAATTTTAAAATTTGTACAAATCACTTACCACCTTCCATTGGTGACAATGCCTCAGTGCATCTGAAGCTTGGTAATGGGCTAGTGATCAGAACAGGTCAACTCAACCCCCAAGACTAGTATATATAAGCGACAAAATGGATTGAAATTGAGTGTCAACTTCATAATTTATAACACAAAATGGAATGGTGACAGGGCCTCCCTGGTGGTGCAAGGGGTTAAGACGCAACCTATGAAGCTATCCACAGCCACTACAGCATGAGTTCGATCCCCGGCCAGGGAGCAACCCACATGACGCAGCAGACCTCTCTTGACTCGCCCGCTGCTCCCCTCAGCAGTATATTTCAATCAATCTGCCTGTTCTGTTCCCCACTCTGTCTCTGGTGAATCCTCTCACCTCCCACATCTCTGGCCTGTACCCCAGTTCTTGTATGCGTACATAAAACAATTCTTCAAAAAAAAAAATGGAATGGGTACAAATCTGGTTAGTCATCTGCTCTGCTTTATCAGGAACCTTCATTGAAACAGCCTCTAGTGTTTCCTATTGTGTTGAACCATAGCAAAGGAAAACACAGATCCACAAGGCACTTTACAGAGCCCAGATGACCTGGAAAACCACCTTTCTTCACTACAGGAACAGCTGTCCAACTCTCTGCATACTCCCTTTGAAGCTGATGAAAGATCTCTTTTTTTTTTTTTTAATGAAAGAATACTGGGCCAGCCCCAGCAGTTTTCAGTCCTATTTATCTATTTATCTATTTATTTATTTAATACAAGAGCTGGGGTACAGGCCAGAGGCATGGGAGGGTGAGAGGATTCACCAAGAGGCAGAGCGGGGAGCAGAACAGGCAGATGAGCGAAATACACTGCTGAGGGGAGCAGCAGGTGCAACAGGAGAGGTCTGCCACGCCATGTGGGAATCTCCCTGGCCAGCCTGGAATCGAACCTACGCTGCAGAGGCCTTGCACTGCAGAGACTGCTGACAGCTTCACTGTGCTGCACTCAACCCACTGCACCACGGGGAGGCCCAAGAGATCTCTTCTGGAAGCAGAAACTTATCCAGGTTTATGTTCTTTTTCTCCATATCAGATGTAGCAATACTGGCTATTCTTAGGTCTATGGCTTTACCATTTATTTCTTATTGTCTTGGAACACAATAGATGCCCAACACTTGCTGATGGACTAAAGAAAAGATCCCAACATGGGATCCCACCACATCTCAAGCTTGCTTTCATGAATAAAACTGTTCTGGAGAAGCTTATGGTAAAGTACAATTAAAATGAAATGTATTTTGTAAGACAAGTCACATTTTCTTGACAACAGTAGCATTAACTGAGCGAGCAATCAGATTCAGTAATGCACCATAAAATATGTGCATTTTTCCTAATTCCTATATTATTTTAAGTTTATGATGATCAGTTACCCCTTTTGATAAATGTAAATGTTTTTCTGCTTATATTACTGGCCTTCATTTTATTGACCTCGCTAATATTTAGGCCAGCAATGAAAAGATTAATGGATGATGATTTAATTTTAGTCATATACTAAAAGGTCATCAGGTAAACAAAAGAAGCAAGCAGAAAAATTCAGCTTTATGTCAAAAGTAATTCCAATAGGCTGGGGGCAGAGGGTAGGGGTAGGGGTTGGGGTAGCAGGTATCCAAATGACAAGAGTTCCACTGTGGGAAGTATGTGAGTAGAAGATGCTTTGGGGGAATTTCTGTGCTTTGGGACTTGGATTAACTGCTATTGTCTGGGATCCTTCAGCTCTCAATTCTGTGAATTTTAACAGTGAAAGGAGAGGTGGTCAGCTAAGGTGTTTTCCTTTGCTTAGCTAGTAACAACCCAAAACTTTGAACTCCTGTGACCTGATGACACATTTGTAGGTTAGTACATAGGAATTGACATTCACAGTTCCTCTTCAATACTCCAAGATTACAAGGTATAGATTTTCAAGCTGAATGTATGCTCAGTGAGTATAGTCTATACCATCTCTGAGGAAAAATAGTTTTCTCTATACTTGATATGATTTTTTTTCGTCTTCAGCGACTAATTTCAAGTCATTTTTAATGTGAACTTTACAATGGATTTTGATTTTAATAAACGTATTTAATAAACGTATTTAATAAATGTATTAATAAACATAGGTTCAAAGGAAGGAAAATAATGGGAGCACTAATAAAATTGAAAAAATAGTATTGGAATAAAATACTGGAGGGGCACACAAATAATGATTATTTTTGCATACCATGAAAGATGGTGTTGAAGGAAGGAGGGACATTTTTGCAATTCATTTTATTTGCTTTCGTAGTACCTGAATTATTTACATACATATAGTAAGTTTGAAATAATAAAAAGTAAAGATTAGGAATTAATTTTTAGGAAAACTGAATATACTGTGGAATATGGCTCTGTCATGCATGGTTCTGGATCTTCAGGGACTGCCAACTAGAAAGAACTCAAGAAATGTTCATTTGATGAGTATGTGAGTTAATGAGTAAATAGGCTACCATAGTTCTGTTGGGAAATAATACTGAACTTCCAAGAATGAAAAGTTCTCAACACTTACAGTTTTAACAAAAGTTGAACCTCTTTATATATAATAATTCTTACCATAGACTTTCAAAGTAATCCGTTTGTAGTCGGCACCACCATAGCTGATCAAACAGCAGTAAACCCCAGCATCCTGCAATTTCACATCTGTGATTTGAAGTGCAGCCTTTCCCAAGAAGAGCTGGTCCTTCAATAGTCGGGCCCTCTGCCTGTAGCTACTGTGCTGAACTTTCAGATCTTCCTGCCCATTCACAAGTTGAATAATTTTCTTATCTTCCATTTCCCAGTAGACAATTAGTGAAAACATGTTTAATTTTTCTTCTACTGGGAATATACATTCCATTGTCACATTGCTGCCATGCTCTACCTCATACAGGTCCTTGGTAACGTTGACAGTAAATGCTAAAAAGAAATATAACCAACCTTCAGAAGATAGAAAATTCCTCAAAAAAATTATAGAATGAGAGCAGAGTTTATAAACATTTTATCCAGTCACTTATGTGATAATTACATATAAGGACTTACTTCCCTAAAATACATTTTTATACACTGGGCTTGAAGTACGTTTTGGGACAATACACTTAATCCCTGACTTAAAATAATAAAATTAGCTCAACAAGTTGTTCCAAAATCTATAAACATACATTACTGGAGAAATAGTATATGGTGATGGGCTACTTATAGCTAAGGAGACTTTATTTCATGTGGACATTCTCAGAATGTCCTTTGACTGACACATGAATGGTAGTCTTCTCTTTCAGTAGTCTTCTCTTTCTACTGTCCTAACTCTTGATCGGTTGTCTGGTCAAAGGTATATGGTTATGGAGATCTAGGGAGGGTCTCAGGCTGATGTCAGTACAATGTTACCCTGACATTTTAAGTATACATTCTAAGTCTTTGTGTAATCACAAAGCAGGTAACAGAATAACAGAGGTAGAACAACCCTGACTTTAAACAAACAAAACAAACAAAAGTACACACATAGGATAAGTCCCCAGATATTTTCAGTAATTAACCCTGGAAAATTGATAAATGAATAATGGGTTAATTTGTTTCTTTTAGTTTGTATTTCCCATATCTTTGTCCAATGACATGGATTATGCAATAGGTTTATAAAACTAAAAAGGAAACACAATGTCTTCTATAAAAATTACATTCATTAAAGATTATTTCAATTTTTAACTTATGGTTAAAATATTAAAATATGATGAACCTAATGAAAAAATATTAAAACCTAATGAAAGGTGTTGGTATCTTACCATTCAGAAAATGACAGTAGGCCATGAATGTAAAGGCACTAAATATTCTCATCTTTCTGGAATGACCTAATTATAGAAAACATAAATAGAAAAGTAATGTACTCAATAATGAAATACTCAGATTTGGCAGTTCTAATTCAAATAGTCTTCTAATAACCAGTCAATACGGAAATGCAGCAGAGAGTTCAGAAGTGTAATACCTTCACTAGAGACATAAAAAAGATGTTTCTGTGATATTTAAAAGTCAAATAAAAAAATACTTCTATCATGAGGAAAAAACTTGTAATATATGCTAATATGTACTAAAAAGAAGACAAGAAAGAAATATTATACCAAAATCTTCTCAATTATGTCATGTTTGTTTGTTTTTTCTGCAGTATAACATATTTAGAGTTTCGAACCTTCCCCATGCAATGTTCCACAGCAAGGAGAATCTGACTTCCATACCTTAACCCATTCAGTGTATTTCCCCTCTAGTAACTGAATTCTTTCATCATATTCTCTAACTATTCAAGCCTTCTACATTGTTATCACAACCATGTCAGCTCTCCCCAAGGTGTTATCCTTCAAAATCTTCTTTTTGTCTTTCACTTATATTCCAAATTATAAGTCCCATTTCTTCTATAACTTGATTCCACTAGAAGAAGCAGGGAGAGTGAGGAGAAATTATTGGATTCAACCAAGTCATACTAAGAAGTAAATAATCTGTAGCCACTCTTTTGGGGGTATCTGCCTGTGTTCTATTCTTCATTTTATTTTATTTATTTTTTAATAATTTATTTATTTATATATATTTTACATCATTGTTCACTTTTGTACAAAGTTTGCTTTCTTTTCTCAGGTGTAGTCCCCATAGAATTCCCAAAACCATTCACCTGTGCACCATCACCACAGTCCCTTGTGCTCTTCCCATCTTTGTTTTGATCCCTCTCCCTCCCCCTGCTCAGAGTGTCACTGATTTATAGTTGCCTGTTAATTTTGTTTTGTTTTTTATTGTTATTACTATTTTCCCTGATCCCTTATTTGGTTCCCCTATATTCCTCCTATAAGTGAAACCATGCGATATTTTTTTCTTTTCCTTCTGACTTATTTCACTGAGCATAATCCCTTCTAGCTCCATCCATGTTGCTGCGAATGGCATGAGTTTATCTTTTTTGATTGCTGAATAGTATTTCATTGTGTATATATACCACATGTTCTTGATCCAGTCATCTATTTTTTGGGAATTGGGATTGTTTCCAAATCTTAACTATTATAAATAGTGCTACAATAAACATAGGGGTACAGGTATCCTTTTGAATAAATGTTTTTGTGTCCTTTGGGTAGATCCCTAGGAGTGGAATTTCTGGGTCATATGGTAGCTCCATTTTTAATAGTTTGAGGAACCTCTACACAGCTTTCCATAGTGGTTAGATTATTTTTCATTTTATTATTCTGCTTGACATTCTACAAGTTCTTTCATTTAGCAAATATCAATTTAGCACTTCTTCTATGCTGGACATCATTTTAGGTACTAGAAATACAGCAGTGAACAGTAAAGAAAAACTATTCTTCTCTGCAGCTCTTATTCCAATAGGAGAGTAAACAATGATTTGTACTGTATTCACTGAAAAGAAAGTCAGGTACCCCTCTTAGAGTCTCTTCAACTTCTGCATACATACAAAAAACTCACACCTGATCAATTAGCCAATGCTTCACATATATAAGGCAGAGGATTAATGTTCCTAACATATAAATAGCTCTTAAAATCACTAAGAAAACTATACACAATTCAATAGGCATTTGAACAAAAGATTCTAACTTATAATTTAGAGAATAAGAAATACAAATAACATCTAAACATAGGAAATAATCAATTGTTTAATAATAAACAATCAATTTGTTTAATAATCAACAAAAAGTATAAATTTAAGACACGATAACATTTTTCTCTTTAGTAAGTGATCAAAATAAAGATTTATTCTAGTTATAAATTCAATTATAAAGATCCTTCTAGTGTTTTTTGAGGATATAAACAAATGGATTTTTCTCATTCACTAATGATAGGAATGTGAAATTGTGTAGCTTTTTTTTCGACGGAAATTTGGTAATCTTTATTAAAAATTTAAATGTATTTGTCATATGAGCCTTTACTTTATCTCTTAGAGCTATAGCTTAGAAAAACAGAAACATACACATATAACAATATGTGAAAGGGATGGCATTGCTAACAATAGCCCACAAATGGGAATACCTAGATAGCTTCAGTGATTAAATAAATGGTGATATATTCATACAATGTAACACCATTACGGGTAGCATTAAATATATAATCATGCATTGATTTTGCAAAGATGGAGACTGTAAGTTCCAGAATAGCATATGTGTCTATCATCCACACTTGCTAAAAAAAGAAAAAAAAAGATCTATGTGTGTTTATGTGCTTATACATAGGAAATGTCCAGAAAAATTCATACCAAGATGCTGACAGTGATTATCTCTGTGAGATTAGAATTAGGATAGGCAGGTTTTAAACCTCTCTACAGTTTTTTATAGTAAGAAAGAACAGAAGAAAGAAAAGAAGAAAAAAGGGAAGATGAGGTGGTAGATGGTTTCTTTGATGTTTTTCTGTATCTAGATTTTTAAATGAATGAATATTTTAATTTTATGATCAGAAGAAATTAAAAAAAACCCACAAAATTTACTGAGCCATTTCACCTACCCAAACTTCAGGATACTTGACAGGCACAGTAGCACAACAAAAAGAACCCCACAACTCAAAACATCTGAGCTCTGGTAGAATAATGCCATTTGTTTATTTTAATGTTTTTCTTCACTGTTAAAGTAATATAGCTATATTACAAAAAGAAAAAAAAAAAAGGGGGGGTGGGGTGGGGTGGAACCACTCACTACGCTATCATTTTAACACAAGTAATGCCTGGAAACATTTTTGTTGTCAAAATGAGAAATGAGATGAGGGGGAGAATTGCTAATATCTAGTGGAAAATGTCAGTCATGTTGCTAAACATCCTACAATGCTCAGGATAGCTCCACAGCAAAGGTGTATCTGGCCCAAAATGTACATATCCCTATTACGGTTTTATGTGCCCACAGTATTTCTATGGCTTTCTTTAAGATCAAACTCTAAGCGCTGACCTGTAACTTCTGCCTACCCTCTTCCACTGAAACTAATCTTTGCTTCAGAGTGTGATTTTTCTTCTTAAAAACTACCAGCAGCCATTAATGAGACATGGCACCTTTCTGGAAGGCAATTTTCAGTTTGTATCAATAGATCTTTAAAATATGCAGACTTTGACTAAGTTCTTACAGTACTTAGTACTTAAGTGTAGGTACTTAAGAGTTTAGCTGAAGGAAATACTGAGCACTGTGCCAAAGAGTTATATACATCGATGTTCAGTGAATGGCTAACATTGAATCACTGTAAATGAAACTTTATGCCCAGCATGGGAATTAATCTGTTTGGTTATCCAACACAATGGAATAAAATCCTTTAAAAATACATTTTAGAAGACTAGTTCGCAGAAAATCATTCACAGTAAATTTTTTTAGGTGCAAAAACCTTGGTGGAACAATGGTACTTGCACTACTCCCTGTGTTATAAGACAAACCCTAAGTGAACTTTGCCACAGGTCAAGGACAATGAGTCTAAGAGACATCTTAACATTCCCCTCAGTATTCCTTTAGCATCTCAGAATAGATGGAGCGAAGAACTTGATTAGGGTATCTTGGAATTCAGTACTTAGCTTAGTACTGAGCTTCGTATTCAGAGGATCGTACTAGTGAATGGCTGAGGGTCGGTAGGAAGGACTCAAGCGTCCTTACCTCCAGCCTAAGAATTTTCTTCTGCACTCAGTTACCTACCTCAGAGTCATCTTCAGAAATACTCAGAAATATATATCTTCAAGACTGACATGAAGCAAAACGGAATCCCTCTTGGTAAAAGGCCAAATGTATTTCTTGTTCTTATTTGCTTTGACAGACAACTGGCTCCGAAATCATCGCGCTTTCCCTTTCCCTTCTCCTCTCACCATCCCAAAGAAAGGGTCGAGAGCCCTTAATTAATGTAAGTGCGGCGGGAGGGAGACAGTTGAGAAGGTCGCAGAGCCCGAAAACTTGCGACCTGAAGAGAGAGGGGTGTGGATAGAAGGCTCCCTACCTGCGGGGCGAGAAGACTTGCGGCCGGCTAGAGCTCTCAGGTTGCTGCGCAGGGCTATAAAAGCATAACTTGCAGCGCTTTCCAAGCTCAGCATTCTCCGCCCCGCGCGCGCCCCACCCCAGGAACACGAATTGGAACTGTGATTTCCCAGCACTTTCAATTTGGGAAATTAGGGATTTCTTAATTCTTGGAAAAAAAACACATATAAGTGAAACCAAAAGTGAAACTTACCACCGTTTTCGAATTCCAGGAAATTAGCTTTTGAAAAGAAGAGCTTAAGGGTTCAAACAAGTCTACCACGGTTATGTTTTAAAAGAAAGGTTTAAAGCAAAGCAATGCTGAAATCATCACGCAGATTTCCAGATGTTGGGCTTACCTTCATAATCCAGATAGCTTAAATCTTGTCATCAGGTATCCCTCCTTTCCGATAAGCCTTTACAAGAGGACAGAACAGCTTGACGTAAAAGCCCATCACACGTAAAAGCCCATCACACGTAAAAGCCCATCACACGTAAAAGCCCATCACGTATGAAAGTAAAATGACACCCACATTTGGTTCTTGTTCTACTAGAAATTACATGAATTAACTTCCTCAAATTTGCTCAATTTAATGAAGCTTCACTTGCTTTGTCATTCAAAGGAAATTCCCATCACCAGTTACACCTTTTAAGGTTGCTCTGATTCCCTGCTATCTTGCCACCTTTCATCCCAGTTGAAATAGCATACTGTGCCATGTGGGTTGCTCCCTGGCCGGCAGGGATCAAACTCCTGCAGCAGTGGCTGCAGGATAGCGCTGTCTTTTTTTATTTTTTTTTTAAGATTTATTTATTTATGCATACAAGAACTGGAGTACAGGCCAGATGTATAGGAGGGTGAGAAGACACACGGGAGACAGAGTGGGGAACAGAACAGGCAGACTGCCTGAAATACACTGCTGTGGGGAGCAAAGGGTGAGACAGGAGAGGTCTGCCTGGCAGGCCAGGGATTGAACTGCTGCAAATTGCTTCATAGTACAGTGCTTAACCCCTTGCACCACCAGGGAGGCCCCTGATAGCACTGTCTTTAACCTAACCCACATGGCACAGCAGATCTTTCCTGCCTTGCCCACTGCTTCCCCTCAGCAGTGTATTTCAGTAGATCTGCCTGTTCTGCTCCCCACTCTGTTTAGTGAATCATCTCACACACACACTCCACCCCCTGCACCTCTGGCTTACACCCCAGTTCTTGTATGCATAAATAAATGTTTTTTAAAAAATGAAATAGCATAATGTAGGTGAGGGTTAAGAAAATTCTTTGGGGTCCTCCCCAGTGGCGCAGCAATTAAACGCTGGGTTGCAAAGCTGCCCGCAGCCTCTATAGAGCGGGTTCGATCCCCGGCCCAGCTGCCGGGTGAGGGTCCCACATGGCACGCAGACCTCTCCTGCCATGCCCACTGCTTCCCTCAGCAGTGTACTTCGTCAGTCTGCCTGCTCTGCTCTCCGCTCTGGCTCTGGTGAATTCTCTCACCCTCCCGCACTTCTGACTGTACCCAGTGCTTGTATAAATAAATAAATCTTAAAAAAAAAAATCCTTTGGAAAAAATGATTAGAAATAATGAAGGAACATAGCAAAGTTGCAGCCTACACAACCAATATACAAAACTTGGTTGCATTTCTATACTCACACAATCAACCATGACACAGAGGAAAATAATCCTGTGTATAACTGCACCAAATAAAATAAAATACCTAGGAATAAATTTAACCAAGGAAGTGAAAGACCTGTACACCAAAAATTAGGAGATACTACTGAAAGAAATTGAAGAAAATACAAAAACAGGAGAGATACCGAATATCCAGTGCCATTTGTATCAACATGGGTGGACCCAGAGGGTACTATGTTTATTGAAATAAATCAGATGGGAAAAAGACAACCACCTTATGATTTCACTCATATGTTGCAGATAAAACAACAAAACAAAAATAAACAGACTGCAAGAACAAACTAGTGGTTACTATAAGGAAAGGGGGAAGTAGGGTAGGTAAATTGGGTAAAAGGGATCAATTGTACAGTGATGAATGGAAATGAGACTGGGTGATGAGCAAAGGTAGTCTATACAGCTGTTGATATGTAAGTCTGTACACCTGAAACCTCTATAATGTCCTAAACCAATGCTACTCCAATAAAAAACAAAGCAAACAAACAAAAACTCTGCTCTTTGGGGGGAAAAAAACAGGAAGGTTCTGATAACTCCAGACTAGTGCAAGATAAAACCATGTGATTCAGAGAACTGTGGCATAATTTGTTTAAGCATTTCCTATTTTTGGACTTCTAGGTACTTCTTCCTTCTCTCCATCCTTCTATCCTGCATAATGAATGACTATTGAGATGTTCCTTTGCTTGGTTATGGCACTGCTTTCCACTTAAAAATTTTCACACTCTCAGAATACCAAATTTTTTTCTAACTTGGAAAATTGCCGATGATATTGCCTTAAAAATCTGATGGGGAGTATGAAATTCTCTTTGGCCTCAATAAAATTGTAATAGACTTTGGAGGTTCAGTTCAGATGTCCTCTTTCAGATCTCTTTTCTGAGGCAATGTAGTGGAATAGAGCAATGTTTTCCCAACTTTAGTGACTGTGAGCTACAGGTAAACATAGATTTTACATGTAATTCAGCATACATGTGTATGTGTATTGTTTATAAGTACACACAAGTTCATGAAACAATAATTAGAATTACTGTTATGATTCCCCTAGATTTTTCTATGTAGTTTTTCATTTTACTGAAAATGATGGTCAAGACCCAGAACACAGATTTCATGACCTGTTAGTGTGGTCATGACTATTGAATAGGAAAAAAACTATCTCTACAACTATCTACCACTAACTAGGTGAGTTGTCTTGGGAAAATAATTTACTGAGTAGCCAGGATTAAGTAAGAGCCTCTAAGATGGTCTTTAGGACCTATGAATAATTTTTAAAACAAGGGTTTGGAGTATTTAATTTTTTGTGTTACTAATATAATGTAGGGTCTACAGGATGTAGAGAAGGAGGCAGAGGTGAATGGAATTTGCCTTTCTCTGAAATTGTTGATGGGAATGGACTTGTTAACCAGTGATTTACATATTAGTAATCTGAATATTTGTGATTTTGTTCACCTCACCCACCTGTTTTCATCCTTTATCATTCATTTACATATATAAGCTTCTTAAGTGTTTCTTCAAAAAGATAAATTTTATCACTTCAAAAAATATTTTAAAATCAAAACAGCCAGGGTGCATTAATCTTGTGTATACTGACTGATTCAAGTGCACACTGAAGTTCTGAAAACTGATAGCATGATGTTTAAGGAAAAAACTGAATGAAGAAATCTTTGCAAGTGCAGTTATAACTCCCTCTCCTCCAGCTAATTTGGTTATTTGATATCAGTACCATACCATGCTCTCCATCTGTTAATTACACTTCCACTTTTGCTCCCAAAACAAGAGAAAGGATTCTTGCTTGTCCTGATCTCAGAAGGAAGACAGATTACAGGTCTTATAACCAGATGTGAAGTGATGCTACAGTTTTCTGATGAAGGAGAAATTTTTCCATAAACTTCCTTGATCAGCAAAAATAGGATATAATAAAAAATACAAAACATTGACAAACCTCTTTGATTATACTGAATATTTATTTTTATTTTCTTCCTTTCTTTCTTTTTAAAAAAGATTTATTTATTTATTTATTTATACAAGCACTGGGTACAGACAGAAGTGCGGAAGGGTGAAAGAATACACCAGAGCCAGAGCAGGGAGCAGAACAGACAGACTAACGAAATACACTGCTGATGGGAGCAGCGGGCAGCAGGTGAGGTCTGCGTGCCATGTGGACCCTCACCCGGTGGCCGGGAATCAAACCGGCACTGCAGAGGCTGCGGGCAGCTTCACAACCCAGAGCTCAACTGCTGCGCCACTTGGGAGGCCCTATACTGAATATTTAAACATAAATTGTATTATTATGTATGTAGACAAAGTCCAGATTTGTCCCCATGTTTTATTTATTTTTTTTGAAATCATATCTTCTCCAATTTCTTTTTTTCTTTTTTTTATGCATTATTTTATTTTATATAATTCTTACATCATTTTTCATTTTTGCATAATGTATGCATTTTCATTTTGGTTATATTCCCCATATAATTCCCACCCCCTTTTTCTGACCCTAATCCCTCTTCTCCTCCCCCCTGTCCCCCACTATAGCGTGTCTCTGGCCTATAGTTGTTTGTTGATTTTGATTTTTACTTTATTGCAATTAGTCTTTTTCCTGGTCCCTTATTTAGGTTTTCTAAATTCCTGCTATGAGTGAGATCATCCGGTATTTTTCTTTTTCTTTCTGGCTTATTTCACTGAGCATGATCCCTTCCAACTCCATCCATGTTGCTGCAAATTGCATGAGTTTATCTTTTTTGATTGCTCAGTAATATTCCATTGTGTATATATACCACATCTTCTTGATCCAGTCATCTATTTTTGGGCATTTGGGTTGTTTCCATACCTTAGCTATTGTAAATAGTGCTGCTATAAACATAGGGGTGCAGGTGCCCTTTTGAATACATGTTTCTGTGTCCTTTGGGTAAATACCTAGGAGTGGAGTTGTTGGATCATATGGAAGCTCTATCTTTAGTAGGTTGAGGAATCTCCACACAGCTTTCCATAGTGGTTGGACCAATTTGCACTTCCACCAGCAGTGCCGGAGAGCTCCTTTTTCTCCACATCCTAGTTGCTAGTTTTTTTAATATGTGCCATTCTCACTGGTGTAAGATGGTATCTCACTGTAGTTTTGATTTGCATTTCCCTGATTACAAGTGATGTTGAACATTTTTTCATATGCCATACACAAACAATAAATCTGAAGAAGAAATTTAAAAAATGTTTCTTTTATTATTGAAACATAAAAAATCAAATACTTAGAAATAAACCTAACAAAAGAGGTAAAGGACCTATACAAAGAAAACTATAAAACACTGTTAAAAGAAATAGAAGAAGACACAAAGAAATGGAAAGACATCCCCTGCTGATGGATTGGAAGAATTAACATTATCAAAATGGCCATCCTACCAAAAGCAATTTACAGATTTAATGCTATTTCCAATAAAAATTTCAATGACATTCTTCAAAGAAATAGAACAATTATTGATGAAATTCATATGGAATCACCAAAAACCCCAAATAGCCAAAGCTCTCCTGAAAAAAAAAGAATGGAATGGAGGCATCACATGCCCAGATTTCAAACTATACTACAAAGCCATAATAATCAAAACTGCATGGTATTGGAACAGAACAGAAACACGGACCAATGGAACCTAATAGAAAATCCAGAAATAAACCCACGGATTTATGGTCAAGTAATCTTTGACAAAGGAACAAAGAATATGCATGTTTTATTTTTGATTGTATAGGATTTAAACCACTGC